ATACTTTTAATTGTAGCCTCTTTCATAATTGCAAATTGTCTTAAATCTTCTTTGTTAAGTTTTTTAAAATAAAACACCTTCTGACTTAGTTATAATACAGTAACAAATAAGGTTACAAAAAGTGTTCACTGTCTAAGATCACTCTAGTTACCTACTATCTTAAAAGAAGTAGATATAGAATAACAATATATAAAAAATTTGACTCTAAGCACTGATTTGTTGTAAAAGTATCCATATGAAAGATCAATTAAAAATAGGAAATACCTTTTCTATTAAATAATCAAATCATCCTTAAAATTTCTATAAAATTCTGCAAGTTCTATATTACCTTTTGTGCAAAGACGTATTTCCTATAGTTTGTTAAGAGGTTTATTAGTAATAAAACCTTTCTTTGTTAACTAAAAAAAAGATAAATCTATAATTTTAAGCATTCGTCTTATTTTATATAAGGGTTGCTCTAAGTAAACTCCAAAAAGTTGCAAGTAAAATGCTGTTGTACCATTAAGATCATTCGAAGTGTTTCTTGTTTTACACCTTTTAAAAAATACAAAATAATTAAAAACAAGATATTCGAAGGAAGAACTTGAAGTTTATAATAAAATAATAATAATCTTCAAGTCTGATTTTAATTCGTATAAATTTGACCAACAAGCGAGTTATTTATATAGAACTAAAGCATACGACTTAAAAAACATTATTTTTTTAAGGTCGAAAGATTATTTGTTGGAAGTTAATTGACATTTCTGTTAAAAAGTCATGCCGTCATATGTTACACAAGAATTTATAACTATGAAGATCATCACGGGAGAGATGTCCCGTGCCTGTTACTAATTTTATTTCATATTTCTTATACGCATAGTATTGATATTTCTTATGCTTCTGAACAGCTACAATTAAGTCACGGACTTTAGTTATGATTGGATCAAATTTCGTAATGGCCACGGTAGGTTTAATTTTTAGGCGATTTGTACTACACAATATTAGTTTGGGCCCTTATTTGTATATTTTAAATTTTTGGGCCTTTATATATAAATATTTTCGCTTTGGGCCCGTATCTGTAATTTTTTTGTTTTTTGACCCTTATTTGTAAATTCCTCTAAAATCAACCTACTCTAACAAAATTATTAAACTATAGCTCAAAAAAAACAAACAAAAACTTGTTATCAACCAGAAGTCAAAACTGAATGTAAATTTTAAGACCCGAATTGAACTTGCATGTAATATAAAACCAGTTATTATATAAGTTAAACTAAACGAAATAAACTGAATTATAATCGAATCACAAAATATAACATGATATAATATAATTAATTGATTGACAATAACCCTAATTGGTCAAAATCATTTGCCTTTAATCATATTAAATTTTATCATTTCTTAGATTAAATCAATTCACAATAAAATACTTCGTAACATGCTTGAAACAAACCGGGTTTGATTTTTAAAAACTGAGTTGTTCGAATTTTATAATCGGATTAAGGTACATAAACCGATCTAATACGTATAAAATCGGGCTTCTGCAAGTGATACAAACTCAAAAAGAAATTTTTTCTGTGTAGATCGCAATCTGTATGTAACATAAGATTGAAGGCTTTTTCAAAATATCGCCGGTAACCCAAAATTTTGGCTAGGAAATCACTTATTACTTTCTAATAAAAAAATTCTGGCCAAATTTTATTATACAACCTTCTTTATACCAATCTTTAACTCTAGTCCTAACGCCGGTCAAATCTCACGTGCTTTTAGCGAAATAACAACAAATTTCCTTTTTGGGCTTGTATCACTTGCAAAAATAAGTAAATCCGTTAACCGGAATTATACCCGAATTTTAACCGGTTCCAACCTCTACTACCAACATAAGATCACACCTGACCCCAAATCTCGTAACAACAAAAAAAACCCCCAACGCGCCCTCACTTGTTTATTGTTTATAATTCTAAAACTATTATTATTAATATAATCATATACTATATGAAACTTAAGAAAGAGTGCAAAGATCTTTTAACAGATCCTGGTAATTTACTCATGAAGTCTATGCCTAATACATTGCCATATACATTAATGCTTACATTCCACTTAATACTCTTTTGCTATTTGAAGAATACTGGAAAACTGTTTCAGAACCAACTTTACTTAGTTTTTTAGCGTATAGAAAAAAAACGATCATTGCATCTCTTTCTCAGGACCAAGAATATTTACGATATCAAAGAAATTTAGAAAAAATTATATCAAATTATAATCAAGGAACTAATTGGCATAAAACCGCGACTTTGGCATTAAAAAACTTAAAGGTACGTGTTAAAAAAACATTTTATTGAGGTTTCGAAAGCAAACCAAGGGAACATCATTGGCTACTGTATTAGGTTCGTACTTTCTATGGGAAAGGCTTCGTGCTTGTCAATGAGCGCATTATTCAATGCTGAATATGCGGACAATTTGTGTTCTCCTCTGATGGGGCTTTTCAAGCTTAATATCTTCACTTCCTTTAAGTCAAGATGCATAGAGGACTATAGCAAATGTCGTGGTCATGGTATTATTATCATGGAATAACACATCATTGACTACTGTATTAGGTTTCGTACTTTCTATGGGAAAGGCTTCGTGCTTGTCAATAAGCGTATTATTCAATGTTGAATATGCGGACAATTTGTGTTCTCCTCTGATGGGGCTTTCAAGCTTAATATCTTCACTTCCTTTAAGTCAAGATGCATAGAGGACTATAGCAAATGTCGTACCCGTTGTATTGTTATCATGGAATAACACATCATTGACTACTGTATTAGGTTTCGTACTTTCTATAGGAAAGGCTTCGTGCTTGTCAATGAGTGTATTATTCAATGTTGAATATGCAGACAATTTGTGTTCTCCTCTAATGGGCTTAATATTTTCACTTCAAGATGCATAGAGGACTATAACAAATGTCGTGTTAAACCATGTTTTCATTAACTTAGTAAAAGGTTTTTTTGGCCGTACTTACATCTTCATTTTTTACAGGATGAGAAGAAATCGCCCCAGATTATTGATTTCTGGTCTCTTGAGTTAGAACAATTAAATTATGAAAACGCCATGGGTGAACAAGAAAGGTTAAAATTTATAAAGGTATGTGAATTTAAATTTTACTAATTTTCAAAAGTAAAATATAAAATTTCATTTCTTATTTAACTTAGACACGTGATACGATACAAGCCTATGAAATTGGAAAAAACTACCTTTCACGTACCTCATCTGTAGTTGAAAACATAAATGTTAATGATTTATCTGACGAAAACACGTTTTTGGTAAACCAGAATGTGGCCTCATCGTCAAAAACAACGACAATTACATCCACATCCACCCTCACCGCTAGTGACAACAATGATGATGAATCGGAGATCTCAACCTCATCAATTTTAGGCAAGCGCGTGCGTGAAGATAAATCCGTCGAAATGGATGAAATAATTGTCGATTATACCAAGCATCAATTGTTAAAAGAATATTGCACTTTACTTTCTAAACTACAGCATCATCCAGTTGAAGAAGAATCACAACGCGCTCGTCACCTTATTAGCATGTTAAGATGGCATGTAGTTGACCAAGAAATGTTTAACAGCATAGGTTGGACCAAAATCCCACAGCGACACTTTGTTTCAAAACCAAGTTTTGGTTTAAGGCTCGTTTCTAATGTATTGAAACAGCACTCAAACAATCAGCTTCATCTGGCGGAACGATCACTTCAAAATTTGATTATGAATAATAAAATCAAAGACAGTGATCATAGCTCGTTTATCACATCAATTATGCAATTTTTTTCTCGGAAATTAGATGATAAATATTTCGATATAGATGCTTTGACAGTTGTATCCGTTGTTTCCAGCATGATCTTATATACGCCGACATCATGCCGCGGTCTTGGAAGTTCCCCCTTTGAAAATCACATTAAAGCAGAATTATGGACAAAAATATTCTCTAATGTTTTCACGCTTAATAAAACGAAATTTGTTCCTGTTTGGGAATTACATCATCTAATTTCTGGGAATGGTAGTAGAGGTTCTGCCCGATCAGATTTTGGTGCTATAGTTACAAATCGCAACGATTTACAATTTCCCTTCTTTATAGTCGAATTTGAAAGAGGAGGCTTTGAGATTCATAAAGATAACTTAGTAGTTGTATCAGAGGCAGTGTACGAATTTAATCGTATATTAGCTTTGGCACATGATCTATCGGAAGAAGAAGTTAACAGAACTCGTATCCATATAGGTTTGGTGAATGATACTCGAATAAGTTTTAGTACAATTACACCTGTCTTCAATCAAGAAGAATCAACATTTGTTTATATTAATAATGACAAAATACTATCATATAATTTAATAACTAATGATACGGAGAAAAACATCGAAAATGCTTTACAACTAGTTACTTACTTGAGAGAAACCATTTGTGAAGATGGGCTGTGGATCGAAACAATCTTGAACAGGGAACCTACAAGATACAATTATAAATTAAAAACATTATTACCAAAACTACCAAATGAAGCTCTCAAATCAAGAACTTCTGAGACTAAATTTACGCCACTTTCAAAAAGGAAGCGATACGTCTTTTCAGATACATTGCAATACACTTAATACTAAAACATTGGAAAATTTTTTATTCATGCTATTATAACTTCAAAAGTTGTAAATATCTTTTAAAATAAGTAAATCTTGTGATGTAATTAGTTTAGTGCTTCAAGGCACTTTATATATTTGTACAACTAAGAAATTTCATGATGTATTACATTGATCGCCTATTACATAAACTGATTAACTAGTATTTCATTTCTCTGACAATCATTTCACCGACAGTCAATTCACAAAGTTTATTTCATCGACAGTTATTTCATCACCACCCTAAAAAATTTCGCCGATTATGTGATCTTATTAAAAAAAATTGTTTCGCAATTAGTTGAGGGTTAGGGTCCCAGCAGTAGGTTAGTGTTTGGTTTAAAGGACTGTAGCTATGGTAAAATTTAATGAGAAAATGATTTGTTAGTACGCAGTAGGCACTTTCATAGGTAAAATTTTAAGCTACAACCGTTTTTTTTGTTTCTATTTTTTTTTGCGTTTCTTTTGCGTTACACGTGATCTTGAAATCTGATTAGCCAGCAAAATTAATTAGGGTGGTGATTTAACTACTGTTGTTATTTCACCGACAATCATTTCATCGACAAAGTAATTCCGGCGGGTCAGATTAGAATTAGAGTTAAGGTTAGTGCAATTTTTTAAAAAAAAACTTGGTAAAATGGACTGTCGTTGAAATAGTTGTCGGTGAAATCAGCTTGTCGGTGAATTGAATGTTGGTGAAATGACACGGATCCCATAATATAGTTATTGTATAGGGTTTCAAAAATATGTGGTATCAAACGGTACGCGCCATACAAAACGGTACTTTTATATCATATTCGTAATTACGTTATCAAATTAAACTATGTGAGTATATGTATTATAAATTCTTTCAATAGCTTATTTTAAAGACAGAAAAAAAAGATAATAAAACAATGATAATGTAAACTATACAAATATGTGAATTTTTAGTATATTCATTAATAATATGGTTATATGATAAATATACATACGTATTACGATCTTTTGTTAAACGTTCTACATTTATATAATTAAAAAATGTTAGATATTGCAGGAGAAATTAAAGGTGAAAGAAGACTACTTTTCTATAGTCTTTAATATTGCATGCAGTTCTCAAAAATTTTAATTATAAAAAAATTGATTAATGATCATATATCACCTGCACTATGTTTGTAATTAGACCTGCATTAGACCTCAAGAAATCTGCACATAAAAGGGTAAAATTAGAGCAAAATAAGTATAATTGTAATTTATTGGAAATCGTATTGGTAGACACAGGCACGTAAAAAATTAGGAGCAATTTTTGATAAGTGGTCGCAACTAGAGGTGTAAATATAATACGTACCATAGCTTGTTCTAACTATAATGAGTTACGTGCATTTTTTGCCATAAAATTATAATTATGGCAGGCATTCACACCTCTGGTCGTATAGTTTGAAAGTGGTGCATAATTAAAATTTTATCGCATAATTCTCATAAACTGATTTGTAAAGCAGGCATAATTTGGGGTTTATCGCAGCAGAAAATGAGATGTCTACCCAGAAAAGTTACTATGCAATTTTACTGTCACGTGATGTTCGACGAAAATAAGCCAATAATGAGCATCGATTTAACGTTCGTTTGGCTTATATCTCAAAATCTACATAATAAATCACCTTCTGCGCATTAACCAAAAGTTTTCCTTGAGTGACCTTACTATTAGGACCTCTAAATTCTAATCCTAATATAGACTCTAACCCTAACATAAACGAACTTGAAGAATTTTGTCATATATCACGTGACAATAAAATTTTTCTGTCAATACTGTGTTTACGGACGAATCATGGGGTTAGAACGTCCCGAATTATGATCCGGTCATTGTCAAATTATGCGTGCGGCAAACTTAAATTTATGCGAATTATGCGAACCTAGGGATTAGGCTTAAAAAAATTCCGTTGACCAATCAAATTTCAATACCAGGAATACCGTAAGATAAACGTTTATACAGTATTCCAAAATATAGATCATGAAACCGTCTTTTACGTATTATAGAAAAATTTCTAAAGGCACGAAATTTTTACTAGAAATATTTTGTGAACAGGAGAAACCGTCGATGTTACATGACTGATCCTTCACCCGGTGTGTAATATATAAAAAATTTATTTTACAATACCAGATCATTCTGCTAGTACATGTCATGATTATAATCCAACACCATTTTTTTATAATAAAAGTGGTGTTGGAATATAATCATAACATGTACTAGCAGAATGATTTGGTATTGTAAAATAATTTTTTTATATATTGCACACCGGGTGAAGGATCAGTCGTGTAACATCATGTTTATTTTGTGTGGTAATTCTACATATGTTAAAAATTACAAGGTTGGTATATAATCGTTATATCAATGCTTTAAAAAGTTTGAACAGTATAATCTATAACTTTACTAAATTCGAAACTGTTGACTTTTGAAAGTGCACTAGGTACATGATAGTTTAGCCATGTATAATATAGCCGACTTGATGACAAGATTTCGTGTACCATAGTCTGTGTAATGCCAATTGACCAATAAAAATTTCTTCAAGCGTGAGATTATTCTAATTTCTTTAAATTATGCAAAATCGCATATTTCATGTGCCATAAGTTGAATTATGCGGATATTATGCCGGATCATAATTCGGGGTAGAGCATGGTCATGGGATCCAATTGCGATATAATTTCACTCTTGATACTGATAATTCAAATAACTCAGCTTTGGGGAGATATACAAAATTTCATGTGATGCAAAACATGTGACCGCTACTGTAATTAATACAGGATGTAAAACGAAAAGGTTTGTACAACTTCTCTCAAATAATCGCACCTATACTTTTTTGAACTTGATTATCTCAAAATCATATTTTTACACTTTCCATTACAAAGGCTTCATATTTTATGCCATTTTTTAATTGTATTTTTGATTCATCTAATTATAGTGATCTGATTTTAATGTTTTATTGACAATTGTGCCACTGTAACGATTATGTAAATTTGATTTCTTTTTTGAAATAAAATCAAGCGTAGTCTATATTACCGCTACGTATTACGAGTTCTGATTAAATAAGTTTCATTATCATTTATTGAGGTCGAGTATATATGCTTCGATTCCGCATTATACAGTATCTTGCTGATTAACATTTAAGTGGTACTCATTACGATAGATCAATACGAAAGAATGATTATAATTAAGAACTTAACGATTCAACTTTATATGTGTGAAGGATTTCTATTGGTTGATATATTAAAAAAAATAAAAATGTTGGGTTTCCACTCTTCTGACTCGGCTGGGATATGAAAACCAAAAATATAAGTTTGTATAGGCTTATATATTAAATTCTTTTTTATTAAATGCCTATTCACTAACAGTTGAAAAAACAAAGATTTATCGAACCAACAAATAATTATTCAGTCAATTTTTTACCTGATATCCCAAAATTAATGAAAACAACTGTAAGCAAGTGATTCAACCGCATTGCATAAGCAACTCAATGGGTTTAACCCACGGGTTAATTCGCGGGTTTAACCTGTGGTTGACCTGTTAACAAGTTTTTTGAGTATATAGAGATTGTTTAAGTTGTGACCTGTCGGAACGAAAACTAATGCATTACATATTCAAAAATTAAAATAAAAATAGCCAGCCAATACTCGCTAAGGCTGCGTAAGTTGCTCGATAGTTGAAGAAGCAGTACTGTATGTGTTCTCTATAGTAATTTAGTCCAGCAGAATGAGAGATAAAACAAATTTATTGATCGCGAGGTTTCTTCGTTGTTTTTTTTCTTTTACTCGGGACTTTTTTGACAATGTATTAAAGTAGTCGTTAAGATATAAGAAACATTAAAAACAAAAAAAAAGATATACGTACAATTAAAAAATGTTCCGGATCAGTCCAAACTCAAGATCTAAGAAGTATAAGAACCAGTGAATAAATTCATTGCGGTATTATAACACATTTATGACCTACGACATTATTTACTATTTATTACTTATATTACAACATACGACATATTATAATACCCGCTACTTATATTACGACTTACAACTTCAAAATGTATGCGCCTCTAAAGCGCATGATCAAACGTAGGATATGATTGGATAATCAGTAAGGTGATTAATTAGGGTTCAGGGCATGGGAAAAAAATTGGGCATGCCCCTCATGCCTATGGGCATGCCCTTTTTAAATCATGTGATTAACACATAGTTCACAACTTCTTAAAAATCTTACATGTTGATTTAGTATCTACGGTTCTAGTTTACCTGAACTTATTAGCCAATTAAAATAACTTTAAACATCACATGACAAGGGCATGCCCTTTGGACTTGAGGCATGCCCATAGGCATGCCCTAGGGGCATTCCCTTAGGGGCATGCCCCATGCCCCTGTGCCCTAAACTCTATGATTAATTTATTAAGTTAAATTAAAAAATTGTAATAACCATGAGTTTGTGATATATTGTTGAGGTAGTAGTGGTTGAGGATTCGATAACAGTTACAGTCAGAAATGATAATGGTAATGGTCGAATGTTTGATGACAGTTACGCATGGAAAAGTTTGAATCTGACCATAAACCCAAATATTTTTTGTTCAAAGGATATTAACAGAACTATTAATTTTTCGTTAAATATATATTCTGTATAGTAATTATGAAAAATAGATCTAACTTTAGGCATGACACTAATACCAGTTATATATTATAGTATTAGGGTCACAACTCAACACCATGACACCATTCTAGTAAGATCAATAATTATTTATATATTTGTCTTAATCATCAAAAAAATTTAATTCCTCATTTTTTATTTATAATTTAATTATAATATTTATAACAGTAAAATAAATCAAAAAGGACCAGGTATATTATTATGACCATTTAAGTCAGGTTTGCATTTTGGCAAATATTCAAATTTTATAAAAAAAAGTGTAACTTTCAAGATCTTACCCAGAATCATAAAATTACACCTTTTTGCTTATGAATTGTTAAACATTTGT